CTTGACCTCAGGTGATCCACCTGCCTTGGCCTCCCAAAGTGTTGGGATTACAGGCATGAGCCACTGCACCTGGCCTGGTAAATGAGTTTCAAAAGCAGTATTAGACAAATGGAAAATGAAGTAGAACATGGATTAGAAACACCAACATATAAACACTTCTAGATTAAACAGTAAGTTTTTTTTTGAGGCTAGTAATTAATTAATACTCATTAATCAGGTAAAAAGGTATAAAGGAAAGATATGAAGAGAAATATGAATGCCTAAGTGTCAGTCTACATCACGTCATTAAAAAGAATAAAGGGTGGCTCATGCCTGTAATCCTAGCACTTTGGGAGGCCAAGCCTGTCTACTAAAAATGCAAAAATTAGCCAGTTGTGGTGGTGGGTGCCTGCAATCCCAACTACTCAGGAAGCTGAAGCAGGAGGCAGGAGACTCATTTGAGTCTGGGAGGCGGAGGTTGCTGTGAGCAAAGATTGTGCCACTGCACCCCAGCCTGGGCAACATAGTGAGACTCCATCTCAGACAAAAACCAAAAACAAAGAAGGAGGGACCTTGGTACTCCTTGGTGACAGGGATTGGGTCTAGTCACCACAATACTCCAAATACCTAATATGACACTTAGGAACTCAACAGATTTTTATTAAATAAACAAAAAAATTAATTTTAACCCTGCCTTATTCCAAAAAAGGATTAAGATTTTTGTTGAATGAATTAACAATGATGACACTTCTTATGTATGCTTCTTTAAATTATCATTTCAGACAGAAGATAAAGTACCTAATAGTTTCCTGAAGCAGTAGAATGAAAGAACTCCCTGTGGCATGAAAATTTATTGTGTGATGTATTTTAATTTATGAGTATTCCAGACCATGTGCCTTGATTGTCCATTTGACTAACTGCTTACAGCTATTTTATGAGAGAATTAAATGCTAGCATACTGAACATCAATAAAAGCAGGCAACCCTTTTAAATTAAAATCAGGATTTTCTCTCTCTTTCTCTCTCTCTCTCTCTCTCTTTCTCTATCTCTCTCTCTCTTTCTTCTTCTTTTTTTTTTTTTTGAGACAGTCTTGCTTTGTCGCCCAGGCTGGGGTGCAGTGGTGCGATCTCGACTCACTGCAACCTCTACCTCCTGTGTTCCTCACATCCCACAGGTGTACTAACTCCATGGCAGCCAGGCTTTTAAAGTCCCATGAGGCTGCAGATGTCACACAGGCCATGTATGTTTAAGTACATCCCTGCTGTTTAGAGTGAGGGGCTAGGTTGCTTAGCTGGATATTTGACAACTATTATAGGGATTTGGGTCAAATTTTTACATAAGTTTTTTTTAAACAAAACCCATTTAGACACAAAGTATTTCTGAGGATAAATCCTGCTGGGATTATAGGTGCATGCCACCATTCTCGGGTAATTTTTGTATTTTTGGTAGAGATGGGGTTTCACCATGTTGGCCAGGCTGGTCTCAAACTCCTGACCTCAAGTGATCCACCCACCTCAGCCTTCCAAAGTGCTGGGATTGCAGGTGTGAGCCACTGCACCTGGCCTAAAATTAGGATTCTAAAGGGTACTTTTATGGGTTGATGAATATATATTTTTAATAGCAGGAGAACACTGAAATTTTAATAGAAGTCAGTAATTCCTGTGTATGAACTTTTAGGTATGCATATAATACACAAATTAAGATTATGTGGTAATTCTTTTAGGAAGCTAGACACTAAAGGCATGAGATTTTCGACTGTGAATTCTAGCCAATGGATAGAAAGACAACATTCCCGGATTTGTGTTTGCAAATTCTTCCTCCCAGTCTGAATAGTCTTAGCCTGTCAGATGGGTAAGAACCTGGCAGGGGATCCTACAGGGGCAGCAGTGTCCTGCTTATTTTACTGATTACAGCTGCAAATATAAAGAAACTCGAGGTTTGGGAGTAGAGTTGCGGGCATTAGCTCATTCTGCTTAGCCCTTGAATACAAGCATCAGTGGTACACTAGAAGGCCACAGTGGCATGCATGGGGCTTGGAGTCAGTAGTTCTGGGGATCGCTAAGACAATCCAACTGAAAGGCGATGGTACAAGGTTACTTAGGGGAGATGCACTCTGGTTTCCCTTCAGTTTACATACGCCTTTTGCCTTTTACAAAAACCACATTGGGGCACTGGGACTTTCCCATCTATGCTTGGGTAATATTTGAGAACATCTTTCTGAAAAGGGAGATGTGACACACCGAAGAGGTGAGTGGATCCCCTATTTTTTTTTTTTTTTTTGAGACTGAGTCTCACTCTGTGACCCAGGCTTGAGTACAGTGGTGCAATCTCCGCTCACTGCAGCCTCCGCCTTCTGGGTTCAAGCGATTCTCCTGACTCAGCCTCCTGAGTAGCTGGGATTACAGGCACGTGCCACCATGCCCAGTTAATTTTTGTATTTTTAGTAGAGACAGGGTTTTGCCATGTCAGCCAGGCTGAACTCCTGGCCTCAAGTGATCCATCCGCCTTGGCCTCCCAAAGTGCTGGTATTACAGGCGTTAGCCACTGTACCCGACTGGATACCGACTGGATATCTCCCATCCCACAGGTGTACTAACTCCATGGCAGCCGGGCTTTTAAAGTCCTATGAGGCTTCAGATGTTACACAAGCCATGTATGTTTAAGTACATCCCTGCTGTTTAGAGTGAGGGGCTAGGTTGCTTAGCTGGATATCTGACAACTATTATAGGGATTTGGGCCAAATTTTTACATAAGATTTTTTTTAAACAAGACCCATTTAGACACAAAATATTTCTGAGGAAAAATCCTGCTAACAGGGTTAATGTAGAAACATATCTATGCAAAACAACCCAAATACGGCCAAAGCTAGGAGGAAAACAACAACAACAATAACAACCACCACCACCACCAACAACAACTCAACTCATGACAAAACAGTAACTGTTTTGAGCAAGTCAAAATTCAGTTTAAAACACAAATTCTACATTTATCCAAGTTGCTAATGCCCACTAGCTTCATTACTAAGAGACTGACTTAGGATGCACAAGTTGGAGAAAAGTCTCTAAACTGATATTCTCCTGGGCTACCACTCCTGGAGTTAAGATCCTTGTCACTTTGGGCCTGGAGGATGAACTGAGTCTCCTATTATCCTTTAGTTTCTCCCTGTTCTAACTTGTCCTGCGTATTTTCCTAAACTGTTATTTTTAAAACCTCTAATGACTCCCCTTTACCACAAGATTAAATTCACTCCTGTCATCTGGCTTTGGGGGCACTCCACACTTTGTGATTTTCTCTGGCTGTTAACTCGGTATACTACTAAATGCAGCAGGTTCTCAGCATCGCTGGGCAGCACCTGAGAAAGTAATAGCAGGAGGAAGTATCCTGGTATTGCTGCCAAGTAACCAGGTAGATATTTCTGTTCAATTCCAATAAAATTGTCCAGGGTAGGGCATTCGAATGCCAAGCATGCCTTTCTTTGCTCAGGGGTAAAGGGGTTGTAATATAGCTTTCAACAAGAATAGACAGACCTCGTGTGCCTGTAGTCTTAGCCACTCAGGAGGCTGAGGCAGGCAGATCCCTTGAACCCAGCTCAAGCAAGGTTACAGTGAGCTATGATCACACCACAAGATAGACCTGACTTATTACGCATGTATTCAGTTCCCCAGTATCCCAAACCTAGAGCTAATATGCTATCTTACTCCTAACATAGTAAAGTTACTGACTAGAATGGTTTAATTAGGTTGGTTTTTGTGATGGTTATTTTTATGTATCAACTTTACCAGATTAAAGGATAGTCAGCTGGTGAAACATAATTTCTAGGTGTGTCTGTGAGGGTGTTTCCAAAAGAGACTGGCATTTGAATCATTAGACTGAATAAAGATCTGCCTTCACCAACATGGGCAGCATCATCCAATCCACTGAGGACTTGGATAGAAGAAAAAGGCAGAGGAAGGGCTATTGTGCTAGAACATCATCTTCTATGCCCTCAGACATGTGAGCTCCCCAAGTTCTTGGGCTTTTGGACTCTGGGACTTAAACCAGTAACACAACACCGCCCATCTCCCAAGCCACCTCCCAGATTGGGAGTCACACCATCAGTTCCCTTGGTTCTCAGCCCTTCAGAGACAGACTAAATTACACTACCAGCTTTCTCAGTCTCCAGGATGCAGATGGCATTAACATGAGACTTCTTTACCTCCATGACTGTAAGCCAATTCCCATAATAAATCCCCTCTTAGATATCTTTATATATACTCTACTGGTCCAATTTTTCTGCAGAACCCTAATACAGGTTGTCTCTGTACTACTTATTGAAATAGGACACTTAATATTTGTTAAGTATTTAAGTGGAATATTTGAAAACTTGTCTTAACAGAAACTTTAAGGCCAGGAGCAACGGCTCATGCCTGTAATTCCAACACTTTGGGAGGCTGAAGTGGGTGGATCACCTGAGGTCAGGAGTTTGAGACCAGCCTGGCCAACATGGCAAAACTCCATCTCTACCAAAAATACAAAAAAAATTAGCCAGGCGTGGTGGTGGGCATCTGTAATCCCAGCTACTCGGGAGGCTGAGGCAGGAGAATCACTTGAACCTGGGAGGCGGAGGTTCCAGTGAGCCAAGATGGCACCACTGAACTCCAGCCTGGGCGACAGAGTGAGACTCCATCTCAAAACAAACAAACAAACAAACAAACAAACAAACACCACTTTAAGTAGCTGAGAAACATTATTCATTGGTACATAGCTAATATCCTATTTATAAACATTCTTATGTATTCATAAAAGCAACTGCTCAACACGTTATCCTACTTCCAGTTACAAGTTTTTAAATAATCTGGCTTTGCACTAATTTACATGACTTTTATACCCAATTAGGCTAAATTTATGGAAATTTATCTGAAAACTGATTCTAGGCTAAAGTCAAGCCTTTAGCCTCATCCTATTCTGACATCACAGGGAGGTAGCAGCTGAGGCTGTGGTGGGAGAATGACAAGAACTGAGCGTGGGCCGCGGGCTCTTACCTTCAGCAACTTCATCAACTCTTCTAGCTGGACCATCAGTTCCCGCCTGCTCTCTTGCAGGGCCGACATCCTCTGCTCCAGTTCATCCTTCCTTTGCCTGTCCAAGAGGAGAAGCCCATCAGATAAAGGGACCCTCAAAGATGGATCTAAGGCCAGGTGAAATGGATTTCAGACCTGATCCTGCTACTTACCAGTTATGAGACGCTGAGCAAGTCATTTAGCTTCCAATACCTCATAAAATGGTGATAATGTCTGTTTTGCCTACTTTCCTGGACTGTTCTGAGAATCATAGGTAAAAGTGCTTTGGAAAGTTTACATGACCATATAAAGATATTATTCATATTACCAGAGTGAATTAATGATCAAAAAACTCTTTAGAAAGTCAATGCTTTTCGAAAAATATATAAAATCAGCCCAAATTTAGATTAATAGTAGATAAACCATATTAAACTGCTCAGAGAAAACAGGGTTCAGTAGCAAGTACTTCTGATACTAGACAGATTCAAGAAGGGTGACAGATCAAGATGGCTCCCTGTGTCCAAGAACAGTCACTTTTCCTTGAGGATACATTTTACACCATCTACTCTAGCTCAGTATGTCCAAAACTAGACTTAAGATTTTTCTCCCTAAATGGTTTTCTTGTCTCTGTCTCTTTTTTTTCTTGTCTCTGTCTCTTTTCTCTGTCTCTGCTATTTTTCCTTCCAGGTGTCATGGCTGAAAAACTCAGTCCTCTTTGTTACTTTCTTCTTTATATCCCATATTCAATCAATAACTCAATTCAGATCATTCTTTCTTGGAAAATTTATGTGCCTATCTTTCTATTCCCATTTCGCTTGCTTTATCTAAGCACTCCTTTCCTCAAACATCAAACAGTCTCCTTGTGTGATTAATCCTGCTTTTTTTTTTTTTTTGTGATGGAGTCTCACTCTGTCGCCCAGGCTGGAGTGCAATGGTGCGATCTTGGCTCACTGTAACCTTCGCCTCCCCGGTTCAAGCGATTCTCCTGCCTCAGGCCTCCTAAATAGCTGGGATTACAGGCATCACCACGATGCCCATCTAATTTTGTATTTTTAGTAGAGATGGAGTTTCACCATGTTGGCGAGGCTGGTCTTGAACTCCTGATCTCAAGTGATTCACCCGCCTCAGCCTCCCAAAGTGCTGGGATTACAGGTGTGAGCCACTGCAACTGGCTCTTTCATCTTTTATGGTGAGGAAAAAGCAGTGGAATAGAAGTCAACAGCCTCAAAGTTGAGTATCAGTCCCAGTATTTAGCAAATATGCAACCTTAGACAAGTCACTTAGCCTCAGTTTTCTCTCCTCTAAAAGGGGACTAGTAACAGCAACAATATTCTGAGGATCATATAAGGTAATAAACATGAGGGTGTTCTATGAACTTTAAACTGCTGCTCAAAGTAAAGCTATGTTCATTTCATCGTCCCATAATGATCGCAACAGAATTTCCAGTATCACTGACCCTTGCCTGCACAATCTAGACCTATGCTGTCTATCACAGTAGCCACTAGCCATGCCTGACTACTGAGCCCCTGAAACACAGCTAGTCTGAATTGAGATGCTCAGCAATTGTAAAGACTTAGTGCAGAAAAAAGCAAACTATCTTGATCATGTTTTAATACTGATTACACGTTAAAAGAATAATATTTTGAAAATATCAGGTTAAGTAAAATATAGTATGAAAATTAATGCCACCTATTACTTTCTGGTTTTTCAATGAGACTGTTAGAAAATTTTTAATTACATATGTGGCCTGCATTTCTATCGGAGAGTGCGGCTCTAGATCCCATCTACATTCCTATCCTTAGCACCTCACCTCCTATTTTATGCCCTTTGTGTCTGGACCTCCAGCTTATGGTTCACTTTTCCTAAGTGGGCTCCATAATTATATAACTCACCTTCCAAATCTTATTCATTCCTTAATGTCTGACCCAACATCACTGTCAGGAAGCTGCTCCTGATCACTGCAGCAGGGACTGCTTGATTAAGCACTACAGTAATTAGTGCTCCTCAGTGGTACTTAATTTACTTTACTCACTGCCATTCCTACCATGATGCAAAATCCTTGAGGTCAGGGATGGGCCTTACTCATCTCTGCATGTATTGAAGGATGAAGAAAATATCAGGCATCCAGTATCGCCTAATTAACATCTACCGAACTTACCAAAATCATGATTTGGAACTCTCCAAGGGTTTCCAATGACCTAACAATTAAGACTTTCTAGAATCTGATCTCAATTGCCTGGCAAATTGTATCTCCTATCACTGGCACTCTAAAGATTGATGTAATGCATGATTGAAAAGAAATTTTTAGTTCCAAGACTCTTTCCCTTTTCTGAAATGTGCCATAATTATTTGGGGGAATCATGCTGAACCCCAAGCACACTTCCAATCTGAAATGTTTTGTCCTACACTCCATCCAAATCATTATCTACTTTTCATGGTCTAGCTCAACTTCTACCACCTCTATGGGTCCGAATGCTTCCAGAGGAAAATTAGACACACAAAGGTGGTAGAGAATGAATATAGATATAATACCTATATTATATAGGTATTATATATGTAAAATATCTCGTGTATATATACATTATATTATATATATATATTTTTCTGCACTGATTTCTTATCCATACTGTTTATTGACATTGCACAATATTATTTAACTGACTACCAAACTATTTTCTGTTTTGTTCCAAAACCAGATTATAAGTTTTTAGGAAGGACTCATTGTCTTCTAGTCTTCATACTCCCTAAACTTCCAGTGCAGTAGACTCTCCAGAAGAAGGACCTACTCATTCAATGTTCTAGGAAGATTTCCTTCCCTGAACTCCTGAGCCTGGATGTTATATTCTTTATCTGTACTGTGTGTGACCAAACAATTATGGTATAAGGTGAAAATGAATGAGCTACAGCTACATCCAACCACATGGAATTATCCTAAAGGCTAATATGGTAGGGGTAGGGGGTATACAGGGAAGTCCTCTGGGACTATCCCCACCATATTAGTACAATATTTCTACTAAGATCAGAAAACAAAAGGCAAAACTAAACAGTTTATTACATAGGATAGTGATAATGCGATAATACTGTTTTAAACACAAGATAATGATAAACCAAATTCTGGATAGGGGTTCACCCAGTGGGGAAGGTGGAGGCAAGGAAATGGGGTAAGGGAGAGGTACTTCTATGGATGACATTGTTTTAGTCATATATGAGTTCTCAAATAGGATGTGGGTTCATAAGTATTCATTTGACTATTACGCTTCATATACGTTTGTCACACGCACATTTGTCATACATTTTATTGTAAGCAACACACCATTAAAAATAATAATAAAGGAAGAAAAGGCAACCCTGGTGATCAAGGCTCATAGCCACTCACCCTATGGGTGAAGTTGTCCACCTTGTTTTATTATACTAACTGGGTACTGGCAGTCCCAGGCCTCATACACACTGATCAAAAGCAGATGGATGTCAGATACCTACAAGCGAATCCAGCCCTTTATGTGTCTTTTGATAAGCAAAAGTTCTTAATATTAATATAAGTGGATTTACCAACTTCTTCTTTCATGGTAATTCTAAGATACTACTTTCTATTCCAAAATCCTGAAGACATTCTCCTACTTTTCTTCTAGAAATTTTTTTTTTTTTTTTTTTGAGACAGAGTTTCGCTCTTGTTGCCCAGGCTGGAGTGCAATGGCGCAATCTCAGCTCACCACAACCTCCGCCTCCCAGGTTCAAGCAATTCTCCTGCCTCAGCCTCCCGAGTCTTTTAGAAGTTTTAAAGTTCTGTATTCATGTCGAAACCATCTGGTGTCGGTTTTTGTAATTAGTGTGGGGTAGAAGACCAACATGTTTTGTACATAGGCATAAACAACTGTCCCAGCACACTTTAAAATAGTCCCTCCTTTCTTCAGTGATATAGGAACTCCTTTTGAGGTTAAAAACTTTCTGATTTCTCCACCTTCAGACGCTCGTTGGTCTCAGATTACATTCCTGCTTCTTGCTATCCTATGTGACATTCCTGGACTTAGTCCTGCTACAACATCTAAGATAATTTTTAGATCCTTCCAGCTTAACTGAGCATTTTCAGCAATCCCAGTTTCAGCAACAGTTAGACTCAGGATGACAGGCCTTTTTGCTTTTCTAGATATAAAATCAGGCACTAGACAACAGGTGCATCTTATGCCAACAGCCTAGACTTACAGTCTGCCCAAGTCAGCAACATTTGTGCTCCCATCCTCCCTAGTACGACACCAGCTGTACTAACACCCCAGACGTGCAGCAGTGAACCACAGAGCCACCCAAATCTCAGCCTAACTACATGAAGAAACTACAATAAATTTTTAGGAGAATGAAAATCTCTATACATCTAATGATTTTTTTCACCTGCACCAGTTTAAATTCTTTATGACTCTACTATGACAACTTTTATTGATGATCTAAATTTAAACTATCTACAGAAAACAATAATCTCCATTCTCTGGGAAAAGAAACAAGAGGCTACACAGAATCCCAGATAATAGCAAACTAAAAATCAACCTAAACAGAAAGAACCCACTATTTGAAAATCTAGAGATCTGGTGAGAATCAAGTCACTAAATGTAGTTTCCATAATGTCTTAACTTACAGAAGTGTGTACGTATGCGCGTGCACACACACACGCGTGCGTGCATACACACACACACACCCCTTCCCCTAAGCCTCATAGGCAATAAGACCCTAATAATCAGATCATTTCTGTGAAGACTTCCCCATTCCCTCCAAAACAGCGTCACACATGGTGGTAACACTGCTCTCTAATCCCATTCTCATTCTATGTCCTTAGTTTCCTGATTCTTGAGACACTTCATTTAGAAGCCATGGTGCAAGGGTTTCATGTCTCAGAGACGTGCACAGGAAGCATCCTTCTCCTTTGGCAGAGCCCTGCACTGACTGTAAAGAGCCAGGAAAATATACTCACAGGAAAAGCAACGCATTCTTCCCGCCAACTGTCTCCAAAGTCAGACAAGTTAGCAAGATAAGAAGAGGGACTGCAGCACAGTGGTCTTCTTAAAGCAATCACAGAAGTATAAACAGTGCCCCGCTGGTCCCGGAGCTGGGAGACTGGTATTTACTAAGTTCTGTGATAATGGCTGACATTCGTAGAGTGATTTCTAATGGAACCCAGACATCTGAAGCAGTAACAGAATGGGTGAACTCTGCAGTGGTTTGCTCTCACAGGATTGTTTATACTGAACAACAGATTCTTCCCCACTCCTTTGGTTTCCTCAGACAAGTTCCATCCATAGCAGATTACATGTGGGAAGTGGTAGAGTGTCCCTACTCACCTCAGCAGCCGCAGCTCTGCCAGCAGCGTGGGGTTCTGCTGTGCCTTCTCAGGGGTGGGCTGGGAGGCCTGCTCGTGTTCCAGGCGGAGACGCTGAATCTCCTGCAGGATCTCTCTGGAGAGGACGTGTGAATGGAAAGGGGCTGCACAGTGCTTCTCACTAACGCTCCCTCTTTCCCTATTACAAGGGTTCAACTCTAGCAGCGCCTCCTCTACCAATCTTGTTCTGATTGCTTCCAAATGGCCAAGAGGTGAAATGGACACCTTCTCAATACTGCGTCACCTGACATTTCCTCAACAAAGCAATCCTTTGTGGTGGAAAAAGTCATAAAAATACTCTTCTCAAGGACCTGAAAAATCTCCATGAAAGGAAAATTACAGCCAGAATACTTTATTTCCTCTGTTCCACTCAGGAAGGAGGAAAAGGGAACTCCTTGCAACCTCCTAATGCAGGTCCTGTGCTGACTTCCCTTAATCCTTACCTGCCCCTTCCTTCCCCCTGTCCCCGATGACCCAGTGGACAGCTGTGTTGCCTCTACCTACGCCTGTTACCTTAGGTCAGGTCTCCTCGACCTGGCTTCTACCTTTCAGTACATAATGGTGTGCTGTCTGCTCTCTGTGCCTTTAAATGGTTTTTCTTTTCTTTTTTTCTTTTTTCTTTTAAGGAGAGACCAGACAGTCCTACATAGCATAATGGGTCAGGACAAGATGACTAGATACAGCAAAATGCTGCTGGGAAGCAGAGTGAAAAATGCAATTGTGAGAGGGGGTCACACGGATGGGTGGGAGAAGGCCCTGCTAAAAGGAATCCCCCGAGGGCAGGTGAGCAGAGCTGTGGACTACCAGAGCAGACAGACACAAATCAGTGCCCAGGGCATTCCCTGGACTTCGGCTAGCCTAGGTTCACCACAGCAAGGTCTTCCTTGGCAGTCAAAAGCCACCTAGTATCCAAGGAAAATGATAATCAGATAATCCTGGACTTTGGAAGTGGGCTCAGCCTCCGCGCTCTTACCTGTTTTTGTTTTCCAGTTCTGCAATAAGCTGTCTTTGTTGTTTGTTGGCATCAAAGTTAAAGCTCAAGTCAGTGGGAGGACGAGTCTAAAGTGGGGAAGTGTGGAGAAAGTTTTTTTTTCTGATCCAAATATACCCAGAGTTCTAGACTGACTGATTTTTAAAAAACAGATTTTTGACATATAATTTACATATCATAAATCCACCCGTTTTAAGTGCACAATTCAATGAGTCTTAGTAAATGTAAACAGTTGTGCAACCAATCATCACAGTCCAGTTTTAGAATATTTTCCATCACCGCAAAAAATTCCCTCATGCAAGTTTGTCACCAGTTGCCACTCCCACCCCCAACCTCAGGCAGCCATGCATCTGCTTTCTGTCTATAGTTCTGCCTTTTCTAGAAACTTCATATAAACACAAAGTCTTTGGTTTCTGGCTTCCACTTAGCATAATGTTTTTTGGGTTAATTCATGTTTTTCCATGAACTAGTAGTTCCTCTTTTTTTTTTTTTGAGATAAGATCTTGCTCTGTCACCCAGGCTGGTATACAGGATGCAGTGGCATGATCACAGCTCACTGCAGTCAAGAACTCCTGGGCTCTCACCTTGGCCTATGAGTAGATGCGACTAAAGGCACATGCCACCGTGCCTGGCCTAGCAGTTCCTTCTTTTTTATTGCTGTGTAGTATTCTATTGTTTCCAGCTTTTGGTTATTACAAATGAAGCTGCTATGAACTTTCATTCACAAGTATTTGTCTATTTTCATTTCTCTTGGGTAAACATCTAGCAGTAAAATTGCTGAATTATATGATAATCGTAATTAACATCTGAGGAACTCCCAAACTGCTTTCCAAAGTGGCCGTACCATTTTACAATTGCATTAATAATAAATGAGATTTCCAATTTCTCTACATCCTCACCAATACCTGTTGTTTTATTTACTTATTTTTATTTTATTTTTCTTACTACTTTTTTCTTTTAACCATCCTAGTGGGTTTCAAGTTCCAAATAGTGAGTTTTTAAAAAATTAATATATAATTTTCCTACCATAAAATCCACTTTTTAAAGGCATATAATTCAGTAACTTTTTTCTTTGAGGCAGAGTTTCACTCTGTCACCAGGCTGGAGTGAAATGGTGTGATCTTAGTTCACTGCAACCTCTGCCTCCCAAGTTCAAGCAATTCTCCTGCCTCAGCCTCCTGAGTAGCTGGGACTACACGTGTGCACCAACATGCTCAGCTGATTTTTTTGGATTTTTAGTAGAGACAGCGTTTCACCACATTGGCCAGGCTGGTCTCAAACTCCTGACCTCAAATAATCTACCCACCTCGGCCTCCCAAAGCCCTGGGATTACAGGTGTGAGCCACCACGCTTGGCCCAATTCGGTAGTTTTTAATGCATTTATGAGGTTGTGAAGCCATCACCACTATCTAATTCCAGAATATTTTCACCACCCCAAAAAGAAACAGCATACCCACAAGTAGTCACTCTCCATCCCTCTTCCCTCGCCCCGACCTCCATTATCCATCTCTATGGATTTGCCTATCCTGGATATTTCATATAAATGGAGTCATACAATATTGACATTTTACGTCTATCTTCCTTCACTTAGCAAAATGTTTTTAAGGTTCACCCATGTTGTAGCACATTATCAGTACTTCATTCCCTTTTATAGCTGAATAATATTCCATTATATGGATATACCACATTTTGTTTACCCATCCATCAGCTGATGAACGTTTGGGTTGTTAGCACCTTTCAGCTGTTTTGAATAGTGCTGCTTTGAGCATGTATGTTGAGATATGTTATTATTTCTCTTGGGTATGTACCTAGGAATGGAATTACTGGGTCATATGGTAACTGCCTTTTGAGAAACTGCCCAACTGTTTTCCAAAGTGGCTGCATTATTTTACATTCCTTCCAGCAATGTATCAAGGTTTTATTTTTTCCACATCATCCTAATGGGTGTGAAGTGGTATCTCATTGTAAGGCAATTTTTATTTCCCCAATGACTAGTATGTTGAGCATACTTTCATGTGCTTACTGGCCATCTGTATATCTTTTGTGGAGAAATTATGTGGTTGTGATGTGCATATCCATTGATATTTTGGACGCTCGTTAACTCCTTTAATAATATGGTAGCCAGGCCGGGCGCGGTGGCTCATGCTTGTAATCCAGCACTTTGGGAAGCTGAGGCAGGAGGATCACGAGGTCAGGAGTTCAAGATCGGCCTATCGGCCTCGCCAACATGGCAAAACCTCATCTCTACTAAAAATACAAAAATTAGCCGGGTGTGGTGGCGGGCACCTGTAATCTCAGCTACTTGGGAGGCTGAGGCAGGAGAATTACCTGAACCCGGGAGGTGGTGGTTGCAGTGAGCTGAGATTGTGCCACTGCACTCCAGCCTGGGTGACAGAGCAAGACTCCATCTGGGGGAGCGGGGGAAATAATATGGTAGCCAATGAACATGAACAAGGAAAAGGGATGACTAGGTGGTGGCTCCCTTTTGTTGATTAACCAGAAATGCAGCTCTCACCGAGGGCTCCATGATGACCCTGCTTCACTCTGTATACTCTTGGCTCTGCCTGAAACATGTTCTACCATGAAGACCTTGTCTCCTGTCTAGAGCTTGAAGATTCAGTAAATCTTTCCAAGTGGCATCTTCTAAATAAACAAGGGCAAAACAGCATAGCAAATCTGGGTAGGAGGCTTTTTACCAAATTACCAAGTATTTTTCTTTTTAAAAGAAAAAAAAAAACCCCAAAAAACCAAGATGAGTTTTCTTCCTCCAGAGAAGCATGGACTGGCAGCCTACTGAGTAAATTTTCTATATTGTAGTCAGTCTTGTGAAAGCCTGAGTTGAGTTTCAGAAAAATAGCTTGCTTGAGACTGAGGCTGGCTGTGAAGAACAGGTTTGCAATTCCTGAAAACTGGAGCTAAAAGTAACAGTTGCTTAATAGAGTGAGACTAGGGAAAATGATGGAGGTAAGTTCCGAAAGAAATTTGCTTCATATGACGACGAAAAGAAGCCCTGTGGCATTTCTCTGGAAGTATCTAGAGAACCTTTCTGGTTTTGAGTGACTGCAAAGCCAAGGGATCTTCCACAGAGTAGGTTAATACAGGAATCAGGTCATTATCAATAGAGATACCTAATCAGGAACTGGTTGGCTCCCAGAAGCACTGTAATGCAAATATAAGGAAGTAGGGGTGGAGGAAGGTTCCAATCCTGAGGCAGCAGTTCCCCCAGGGGCAGCTGGTGTCCCGGCATTGTTGTGCACCTCCACCTGCACATAGCAGGTTGCACTCCTCAGTGGTGAGTGTCCAGTGATGGCATATCTCACTCAATCAAACTTTAAATACAGTCAAGTATACATCAAATAACAGAAACTTAGCACTTTTATCTATGTACAATTTTTTTTTTTTTTGAGACAGAATCTCACTGTGTCGCCCAAGCTGGAGTGCGGTGGCATGATCTCGGTTCACTGCAGCCTCTGCCTCCTGGGTTCAAGTGATTTTCCCGCCTCAGCCTCCCGAGTAGCTGGGATTACTGGCACGTGCCACCATGCCTGGCTAATTTTTGTATTTTAAGTAGGGACAGGGTTTCACCATGTTGGCCAGGTTGGTCCCGAACTTCTGACCTCAAGTGATCTGCTCACCTCAGCCTTCCCGAGTGCTGGGGTTACAGGTGTGAGTTACTGCACTCAGACTTTATTTACAATCTTAAACACCATAGTGCTCATGAAGAAGAAAAAAAAAGCCAAGTCTCTCTTTCTAAAATGCCTTCAGGACACTGAAGGGAAAAAGACGGGAATTATTTCATAACAACATAGGACACTTTGTTCATCCAGTTCATAAAGACATAGGACACTTTGGCCAGAGAGACATGAAGATGATTTCTTCAAAAAAACAAGTAGTTCATACATTTATTCAACAGATACTTCCTGAGCTCCTACTATGTGTCAGGCACTGCTCTACCAGTTAGGGATGTTCTGGTGAATAGCCCCACCCCCATGGAGCTCGGATTACACTGGCAGAAAAATAAGAAACCCAAAAAGTAAATATAGACATCAGTAGGGATAATGCAATAAAGAAATGCAGGGTAAGGAAACAGTGAACCGGGACAGAAAATTCTTTTTAAATGAGGTGGTGATGAAAGGGCTCTCAGAAACTCAATGAAATGAGGAAACCAACCAGGTGAAGGTCTGAAGGAAGGGCCTGCTGGGCAGAAAGAAGGGCAAATGCAAGGCCCTACAGCTGCTTGGGCTTGGGGTGTTCAGGTCAGTGCTGACGGAGTGGGGAAGCTGTGGTGAGAGTGAGGCACCGTGAGATGAAGAGTCTAGACCAGGGATATCCCATCTTTTGGCTTCCCTGGGCCACACTGGAAGAAGAACTGTCTTGGGTCACACACAAAAAAACTAATGATAGCTGATGAGCTAAAAAAAAAAAAAGAAAAAAAAAATCACAAAAAATTCCCATAATGTTTTAAGAAAATGTACGGATTTTTGTTGGGCCACATTCAAAGCCATCCTGGGCTGCACACGGCCCACAGGCCATGGGTTGGACAAGTTTGGTCTAGACCATACAGGGCCTCTAAGCCATGGAGAGGAGTTTCCATTTCATTCTGAATGTGGTGTGAAGCCACTGTGGGATTCTGGGCAGGGGAATATGAAATTTGACTATATGTGTTAAAAACACTGTTCTACATTTATATAAATAAGTGGCTGAGTAATTTAATACATAGGGAAGAACAGACAAATTTCCCATACGGAAGAATTCCAAATAAGGTATGGACATACTCTGCCCTCAAGGAGGTGAAGCCTAACTCCCCATTCCTTAAGTGAAGCCTGTGCATAGTGACTTCCTTCCAAAGAGTCTGTGTGGAAAGGAAAAGGAATAACTTTATGTTGAAGAAACGTGACGAACACTGCTATGGCCAGGTGATCAAGTTCAACATCGACAGTGACAACTCATGTTGATAGCAGGTACCTCTTGATATGCCATGATGAAAATGTCACTTTACCTTTTCCTTCTCCAAACCCATAACCCCAGTTCTAATCAAGAGATAAATATCAGACAAATTACAATTATT